CAACTCAAACACAGTGAACCTATCAATGGGTTTTCATGGTAAGATTTGTTCAGAGGGGGTTGCCTTTGCCTTCCTCTGAGGTTGAAAGAGTGTGACTTGCCCAAGGTCATCCAATGGGTTTCTGTGGCCAAGTGGGGCTTCAAATCCTGGTCTCCAGAGTCATAATACAATGCTCAAACCATTACACCACACTGACTCCATGCCAAATTCCCTAGACTGCTCTTTTTTTAGCCAAAGGAGGGGAGGGTGCCTCTCCTGTTAGCCTCCAGGAGTGGCAATTTACCTTCTAAATAGACTGCAGTACCCCCATACTGTCTAACATCTTAAAATGCACATTTTTCAAAACCAGAACTGTGCTTCTGGAACCCCCTAGTGTTTATTTTATTTTCCTATTCTGAGTCAGCCTTTCTGTCAACCCATGAGCTCCCAGTGGGTGTCCAAAGGGCAGCCAACCAGTTGTCCAACCCTATAGTTCAGAAATAACACCAATGTTCTTATGTGCATATTTTGACAGTCGTTTTTGTTCAGGACTATGTTGATGGGAGGGAATTAACCCATAATTTCTTTCTGGCTAAGTGCAACAGCATGTAGTGGCCTAACTGCCTTCATACCTGGAAGATTAAGGGAGATATTTCTGCACACTTTGTTCTTCCATAGAGAAAGAGCAGAAAGGAGAGCCCCAAGCACATCTTAAAGTATAAAGTATTTTGTGTATAATTTGTCCACACTTATAATCACAGTTTAAATCCTGAGTACATGTAATTTGAAGACTTTGTCTTTGAAGGGCAAAATTATGCATGGACAGTGTATCTATGAGGATGACAATGTTAAAATGAGAATGTCAATGATCATCAATGTCTGGATATTCCCTGCAGCTGAAATGATTGAACAGGCCAATGATTGCCTACTTCAATAGGCTCCGATTGCCCAGCAGAGAGGGGCGGGATTTAAACAAATTTTTATTATTATTATTATTATTATTATTATTATTATTATTATTATTATTATTTTCACAGATACCACATTTCCAAGGAATTTTGATAACTGTATTTTTCAAGTAAAAGCAATTAATGGGCTAGGTTAGTTTATGTTAAAGGGAAGGACAACATCCATCAAAATCTGTATGTCTCCTGGTATCATACCTTGTAAGGAGATATGGCGAGAAGGAAGCTGGATTGTCCTGTTCTGAAAATGCTGGCATGGAACCTCCCATTATCCAGAGACGAAAATACAAAAGTATGATCACCTTAAGATAAGAACAGCCATTTGAGTAGTTATTTCAGAAGGCACACAATTACTTATGTCCAGCAAACCAGAGGGTATTATGGATGCTTTAATTCCCTGAATCTACTCAGGGCATCATTTCTTTCAATAAATATATCTGTATGGAAATTTTGATGTTGTGAGCCACCCCGATTGCTCTGCAGAGGGGCGGGATATAAATTATTATTATTATTATTATTATTATTATTATTATTATTTCTACCCCACCTTTTGCCATAGCAATCAAGGCTGCTTACAGCTAAAAATAGATACAACAGATACAAACCCCAAAAATGAACAATAATACCCCCCCTATTAAAAATATATTAAATATATTCTCTGTTAAAACCAATTTAAAACAAAAAACAAATAAACAGCTTATTTTCAACAAATAAGCTATGCAAGGTTATGTCTGTGCAAGATGACCTTAGACTGCAAAACCCATCAGCCCTAGCCAGCATAGCTAATGAGAGATGATGGGAGTTGCAGTCCAACAAGATCTTGGGTGGGAGGCACATTTGCCATTCCTTGTCAATTGATTGTTCTGACCAACTTTGACAATTCTCATATCCATCCCTGAATTCCAGTAAATAAGACACCATGATATTAGCTTTCTCTTTAGAATGCAAATATGTTACTGATACATAATTCATCTGAAGAAACTAAAGGAACAGAATGTAATTTATAATATTACTTACATATGTAAGAACCAAGGCAGCCCTCTTTAAAAAAGGTCTTGTGATATGTAAGAACTTCTGTTTGTTACTTGTTGTCATGTAACTGAAATGGGGAAAAAGAGAGAGAGGACATTTATACAAATGAAAAATGGCCAACAGTCTTCTGGAACGATGGGGGGAAAGGTTAATTTATTGTATTTACACACTGTCTTTCTACAGACTGAAGGCAATTACATCTTGAAATACTAGTCTTCCTTCTAACAGACAAGGTACAAAAGGAAATAAGAGACATGGATGCAGAGGAAAAATTAGCAAATTTAAGTCACTAGCCACAGCACAAGTCAGTTTGGGGAGGAAGTATGAGGCACATGGAGGTTATCCAGCTATGTTAGTGGAAGGGTCTTCCTGTCTCATCTCTCCCTCCCATTCACTGTCCCAAAAGAACTACATCTTTAAGCGTGACCATCACATGTGCATAATACATTGATGTTCAGCTTCCACACCAAATGGGATGGGTTTAAAGGCTTAAATCCAATTGCTAGTCACACCTTGAGTATTAACTGCTGGATGGTATGGAAATCTCACTGATCCAAGGGTCAACTCTGGTTAGATTTTGGGCAAAGCTTTTAGTTTGTGAATGCAAGAGGTACTGGGCACACAAATGGGCCCCTCCTATGAGTGCAACATTCCTTAAGTGAACTGAAGCTCTTTCTGTTTGTGGAATTAAAGATTAGGAACCAAAGCCTAGTGCCTTTCCTACTTTCCATTTATTCATAAATGCAAATTTCATCCACTGGCTTGTAAAAATGAAAAATGTTTGGTATATACAGTTCAGTTTCTGGGGTAAAAGAAAACACAGGATATGCCTCTCACACTTACCCCAAAACAGAAACAAAGTGATTACAACATTTCTCAATGTGTGTGTTTTTTTTAAAACAGGGAAATGTCAAAAGCAATCATTTGACCAGTAGTTCTATGGCAGAGAGCAAGCACCTTAAAAACCTTAAAATGTG